GGCAGTCCCTGCCTCACTGGGCACACCCTGTTATACAACAGGGAACCCTGCAGTATGCAAAAGGGGGCTGCCCTGTTGCCATAAAGAGAAATCATCTAATAGCTCATTTGTTTAGTGCTTTCTGTAGGCTGGGGGTTGAGCACTTTGCATTCAAACTCTAACTTAATCATGAAAGCAACCATGGTCATAATACTTATGTGAATTTGTAAAGTCCAGTTCACTCAAATCATGGAGAAATTATCTAGTAAGCATTGGTTGAGGACTGGGGGTGGATAACAATATTAATAAAATATACTCCCAGTCTTCAAGGAGTAACTGCCTAGCCTTAATCCTCCAATGTTGGAAACTGCTCTGTGTCGTGTCTCTTATCTGCCAGGTTTGAATTCCAGCTCTATCACTTCCTAGCTGGGATAAGTTACTGAATCTCTCTGTGCCTTGGTTTCCCCCTTTGTAACTGGGCATGATCATCATAGAACTTACCTCTTAGAGTTGTTGTGAAGATTAAATGAGATAACTCATGGAAAGTACTCGGAGCTCTGACTGGTTCAGAGCACTGAATAAATGCTAGCCACATGTGGATGGGCTTCAGGGGGTCTGTGAAATTTTAGGCAAATGGTGGATGAATTGATGCGTGACTGTTCATCTCTCAGAAGAAAGAGGCCTTGACCTTGGAACCTGAAAAAGGTGAAATACTCCTGACATCAAGTTCAGACACACGGCTGATCCTGGAGACCTGGTTGATTCACTTCACCTACTGAGGAAGGCTTTGAAAACAGCACCCGCTTCTTTTCCTTGAGCCATTTCAGAAAGACACCACAATCTAACCACTCAGGACTTGGGGACACCTCCTGAGGTTCACGTCGCACTAAACTTGGAGGACACTTTAGATATTATCTCATCTAAAGTCACCAGTTTACACATAAGAAGTCTGAGCTGGTGATTGAGTCTTACTTCTTCCAAAGACAATAGCTCAAAAAATGGAGAGTTCACTAATTTCCAAGTCTGGTCAGGAGAGGTGGGCCAACATCTGTCCCTTTCCCTTCAGGATTATCAGAATCAGTAGGATATGGTGTATTTGAAAGGATATAAAAATGTGTTACCACTGTAGGTGTTATTATCTCCATGGGCTCCTGCTATTATTGGTTAGGTTAGACAGGATTCTCCAGAGAAACAGAACGAATAGAATGCATCAGTGAGTGTGTGTGTGTGTGTGTGTGTGTGTGTGTGTGTGTGTAGAGAGAGAGAGACAGAGAAGGGAATGAGCTTCTGTGGGGACTGGCAAGTCTGAAATTTGTGGTGCAGGCCAGCAGTCTGGAAACTCAGGCAGGGTTTCTATGTTAATGGTGTTGAGGTGGAATTTCTCCAGGAAACATCAGCTTTTACTCTTAAGGTCTTTGACTGTTTGTTTGAATGAGGCCCACCTACATTACAGAGGGAAAATCTCTTACTGTAAATCAGCTGATGGTAAAGTGTTAGTCACATCTCTACATCATAGCTGGCCACCTGGCACAGAAGTGGCAGTTAGTCTTGGGAGACCTGAACTGCAAGGCTCTTGTGTACTGTCTGGTGGGTGACCAGCAAAGGAAAGGGCTCCGTGAAGAGGGTGAATTGGCTGTTCAGTCCCCTGGGGACCTCATTCGGGTTAATCACTGCATTTAGGTTAATCACTGCACTGTTGACCTTCACAGAACCTAGTGAGAGGCAGGCGTAGCTAATCAGAAAACAGGAAACGTCCCGAAGAATGCCCTCAGTCTTGGTCCAAAGTTTCTGCATTTGAGTCAGTTGTTTTGTTCAGGGCTGTAAGTACTTAATTCCTTTCCATCCTTCCCATCGGAAGGAACAGTCATCTTAATAAAATTAGAGGTGGCGGCAGAGGCGGTAGGTGATGCAGAGAAGGGAGGAGGGTTTCCTGTGGTTAATCAGATGTTTGGTACCTGCATCTTTGACCTTGAAGAATTTGACCAATCAAATAATTGAATAATAATAATATCTGACTCTGTGGCTGCTGATAAGGAACTAATTCATCAACTTTTTTGTTTGCTAACTTTTTTTATGTGTGAGAATAGGATTTTAATAAAAGATAATGCATTCACATTTTAATTCTAATCAGAGACTCCTCCTTGGAAGGGTTTGGGCTGGGTTTCCCCAGAAGGGGAGGAGCTCATGCTAACTATTTATGTTTTCCTTTCTAGTCAAGGAAATAGGAGTGTGCAGGGGGCAAATATAAGGGCTTGGAGTGAGACTAGACCTGGTTAGAGGGCTTCTTCCTAGCCCTATGATCTTGGGCAAATTACTTAACCATTCTGGACTCACTTTACTTATCTGCAAACTGGAGATAATAACAGTGCCTACCCAACAGGTTTGCTAGAAGGAATAAGTGAAATGAGGCATGGAAAGGGCTTAGCAAAGCCTGGCTTACAGTGAGCATCTCCTAGAGATGCTTCAGCAGCAGCACCCTGCGCCTAGTGCCTGGAGCTACAGGAAGTTGCTCCTTAGTAGCTCCACCCAGTCTGTGGTCAAAGGCTTCTGCTGAGACTTGACTTCTCCCTTTTGTTCTTAATACAAAACTGAATCATATGTCCAGGAAATGTATTAAGAGTCGTTGGCAACTGGATTTTTATCATTGAATTATGAATTTATTGAATTTTCTTAAGCCCATACTCTAATATCCTCCTCTTTTAAGTGACTCCTATCAGTCAAATGAAGCTTAGTGGAAATTTAAGACCTTACAGTATGACCATTACCTCTCCCGCAGCCCTCTACTCCTTTCCACAGCCAGTTGTGTGTGCAGAGTCCCCAGACATAACCAGCTCTCCCCTCCTCCCCAGCTAACCCACCCACCTGGTGGCCTCTATCTGGAATGAGCTTTTCTTCTTAGATCTGCATTTTCAATCCCTCCTTGTCAATCATTCCCAAACTCCGCCTCTGCTTCCTGGGTACCCAGGTTGGATACATAGTTTACTACCTTCACCTTGATGGGAATTTTTGGATTTGCCCATTTCTCTCTTTGGACCTTGAAGGTCCAAAAAGACCTTCTTTATGACTTAGTTCTCACTCACCAGTCCTGGCTAGTGGTACCATTTTATGCTTGTTGAATGCAGGGATTCCTAACCTTTTTCAAAGGTCACTAACTCACTTGAGAATCTGTGAGAACAGCAAGTTCTCTCCCACGAAAAACTCAGAGGCAATATTTTGTATATTAGAACAAATACTCTTTAGAGAGTTTCATGATGCCCTGAAATCTGCTCATGGACTTCCCTGTGGTCACTGCCTAAGAATCCAGCTTCCTCGCATATATTATATGAACATATCTTCATTATCCAATGTTCTGACAGCCTCCAAAGAGGCTGTAGTGTGTGGAAAACCCTCAGGTGTTGGAGCCAGAGAGATGTACTTTCAAAATCTGACTGTTTCCCATTAATTGTGTCATCTTAAGCAGGTTGACTGCTCTTGGTTTTCTTGTCTGTAAAACAAGGATGACCTTGAAGGTATCATAATGGATAGACACTGCAGCAGACACACAGCCTGGCACCTAAAAATGATTACTTAGATGGAGTTGCTACAATTATGTGGAGAAATCATTTTGCCCAATTCCAATGTGGTTAAAAATTCTTTTCATGGCTCATCTTTCTCTCAAGAACATGTTCTCCTCCTGTAACCAGAGGAGACAAGAGTTTATGTCAGATGAGAAGAGAGATGGGTGGGTCCAGTATGGAAGTGTGGGAGGGATAATTTCTGGACAGCTTACAGGTGGCAGCAGAATCAAATCCTGTGAGAGGCCCTGTTGACCTCATAGACAGACCACAGTTGGAACTAGCCAGTGAGGTCTAGGCACGAGCCCATGAGTAGGATCATGCTGAAGCTTAGAAAGGGAAGCCCATTGGACTATATGATGCCCACTCAAGTGGAAAAGTTAATGCTTAGCAGAGTGAGGGTCATGACTCATGGCCTTGCAATGTTGAGGTCTTGGAAGAATGAGGTGGTTAGTCCCACAGACAGCTGGGAGCCAAAGCAATGTGACATTCAGATGAACAAAACCAACTGCCTCCTATGCCCCACAGTGGCAGAGGGGAAGCAATGGCCCAAGCATGGTTCAAAGTGTCACCACTGATGTGACACTGCCTGGGTTCAAATCCTAGCCTTGCCCCTGACTGATAGGTGATTTTTAATATGGTATTTTAACTTCTCAGTGTCCTTAGCTGTGAAAGGGGAGTGACAACAGTAATATATACCATTTTAAGAGAATAGAATAATACTTCTAGCATTTGTCATGCAGAGATTAGCTTTTATTTTGGTAAATCTTTTAGAGACAGGCTCCCAGGGCTCCCAAGAGAAGCCCTTGCTCTTTGGACTTTGCTCCAAGGAAACTTGAAGCACTGGCTACATTTACTTATTTACTTCTCTAGGTAGGGTCAGGAGTAAAATGATCCTCAAATCCATCATGCTGGTCCTAGATAGTGCTCCTCTTCTAATTCCCTTGATTTCAGGCCTGTGGGAGGGAGTCCTATCTCATCTTTAAGCTGTGTTGAGGTTTTGTAACTCTGGAAGTGAGGCTGGGCTTCAGGGCTGAGATTCCAGGTTTCGATCAGGCACCCTTGCCACACTGAGCTCAGACACATTTTGTAACTCTGAAACTCAGTCTCCTCATCTGTTCAGTGGTGGTACCAGCATCTCAAAGGTCATCTCTGTTGGCTTCTTTCTGCAGCAGGCAGGAGATGCAGAGGCCCCAGGAGACCTGCTTGAGGGAAGAGCAGAACATCCCAGCACTCCATGATTTTGAATCCCTTGAAGACCAGGGGATGCGAAAGATGTTTTAAGCCAAAATAAAATGTCATTTCACTGGGAAGGCAGATAGATATCAAGTGGTCCCCACCGTAGGCAGATGAATGAGGAAATGTAGGCACATATTAGGCTCTCGGCTAATGTTCTTTGAAGAAATGAATGAATTTTACATGCTCTTTCTTTCTCATTGATTGAATCTATAATTTTTTAATTTGCAGATGAGAAAAAGAAAACAAAGAAAGTCGATAATGAACTCAACCCTGTCTGGAATGAGGTGACTTTGTGATTTTTTTTTTTTCAACTTTGCTTTAATGGATAAGCTACTTCTTTGGATCAGAAGCTAACTCTTCCCTTTGGAAAGAGAATTTCCACCCTATCACTCCAGCTCCCCTTCTTTCCCCAAGACAGTAGCACACTTCAAAGAGGTTGGCCCACCAATGACTGTCTCCTGCATGGGGTGGGGTGGTGAGCTAAGCCTGGACTGGGAATCAGGAGGGAGGAGGCCTCTCCTGGCTCAGCCGGAAGCTTGCTTGTGAATATAGTCCACTTCTGTGGCAAGAGGGAGGACTAAATCATCTCCAGAATCTCAGAAAAAAAGCTCATAATTAAAAACATATCTGCATGTGATTAATCAAGAGCATATCACATGATACTTTTTATGTATCTAGCTGAGTAATAAAGTTGATTTTTTTTATATTGAAAACAGTGATGTATAGTTAATATAGAAATTTTGAAAACTTCAGGTGAACATTATAAAATTAACTTTGATCCCACCCTCTAGAAGCAAGAAGGTAACATCTGTGTGTATCAATAAGTGTTTTTGAGTAAATACAGTTAATGAAATATGACTTCTGAAATACAAACTATCAAATACAAGTTCCTATCCTACTTTTTCTTGCTATTGTATCCCAAGCATATACTTATATCATTCAATTCAAAAGAATTTTTAATGATTAGGTAATATTCTATTGAAGGGATATAATATAACTTACTTGTCTATTCCCCACCCCTCTGTTGACTTTATATCTATTTTCTAAATGGTTCTGTGTTTAGTATTTTCATAGATATGTGAAATTTTTTATTTTTCCTACCGAGTAGGATTTTCCTACTCTGACTAATTTTTCAAAAGTTGATCATCGGCACCATTGTTTATTTCAAAAGCTGGGGCCAACCTCCCTGCACAAGATCAGTAATAAATGTCTTTGTTGGTTTCACTGAGTCACCAGGCTATAAAAACTTCCCCTCCACCCACTCTGGATCCCTTCTTCCCCCAACTAGTCTCACTATCTCTCTAAGACTAGGGGAGCATGCTATCACAGAATGAGATAAAGATGAAAGCTTCTCTCTGCCTATCTGGAAAGCCCTGCTTGCCTCAGGCATGTTGCAAGGGAAGTCCACATCTCTGTGATTTCACAGGAACCCAGAGCAGCCAAGTGGACCCCCAGGTGCCACAAGAATAAGAGACCTACCTGATCGGTGGGTCACTGTGAGTCCCTAGCACTTGACACAGAGCTCCAAGAATAGAACAAAGACAAAATATGTTTATTCTGTGTGTTTTTATTACTTCAGGTTTTGAATCATCCTGACATGTCTATTTTTGAGCTCAATCCACATGACCAGTGGCAGAGAGATGGGTTGTCATGTGAACTGGCATGTCTTCTACAGACTTCTTCCATCTCATTCCATTTTGCTTTCAGCATGGTTTTTGGTTTTGTTCTTTTGCTCATATTGCAAGTTTACTTATCAAGTAAACTTTCCAACTACATTTTATAACTGAAACCAAACCCAAATGAAATGCCAACCTCAAGCCCATGGGGATTGGTGTATGTGTTCTCATGTTAAGTTCAACACAAGTTTTCCTTCCATTCCAAACCCACTACAAAGAGCCTCAAACCATTATTTGATTTATTTAATGTGTTTATTACGTAGCCAATCAGAGGCATCAATGGTGCTCTCCTGATTTTCTTTGCACTTTTATTAGAAAGCAATCCATTGCATTTAAAACAGGAAACTTGGAAAGGTCTTGACTACAGCATTGACCACAGTGGAACTTCAAAAAGGGTCTGATGAATTTTAGAAAATGCTTTCTTAGATTATTCCTCTTCCTTGTGTGATAATGATATAATTAAGACCAGCAAATCACTTTAAAATAAGCTTTGAAGAAAGTATTTTCATAGATAATATTCCATCTTATTCTTGAAACAGCTGTGGTAGGTGTTAAGTCCAGTTCTGACCATGAGTCAGGGGTTCAGTGACCTGTCTGAAGCCACAGAACCGAGGACATGGGAAAGTTGGAGCCACCTGCAGGTTCTCTGAGTGGAAGGCTGGTTTGAGTCTCATACCCCTCAGCGGCCTCCAGGCATAGAATTTAATAGTTTCTACCTAATTATAGAATTGAGTAATTTGAGACACTGTTGTGGATGAAAATATTGTCCCAACAGGCAATACTGTGCATTTTATAATGTTCTTTGATGCTCTCAACAGCCTTTTTATTTTCATAACTTTTATGTGAACAGATTTTGGAGTTTGACCTGAGGGGTATACCATTGGACTTTTCATCTTCCCTTGGGATCGTTGTGAAAGATTTTGAGACAATTGGACAAAATAAGTAAGTTACTTTCAACAGCTTTTTTCATTCTACATATCATCTCAATATTGTTCATTTTGTTGACAATCACACTTGATAATATTTCCAATGTAACAGTGCTTTAATTCCATGTTCCTACTCCCTTAGGAGACAATATCAGATATGACTAATCAATCACAGCACTTTTTTTCCAATGACTGAAGTATGTCAAAGAGTCTGCAAACACCATGAGTCTATCCTGCAACTTCTTTGTTAACTATACATAGTTGCTTCTCACTTCGGGTTGTTTATCTGAGCTGTGGCTATATTGGACACAACACCAATTCTTCCTTCTTCTGATTATGTGTCGCCTATATACATCATTATACTGTATCTTTCAGATTCAAATGGGAGTCATCATGGTAGTGCCCAAGGTGACATCAAGGATTGTCTTCTGGGTAAATTTGGGTGGGGAAGTTCCAACACTGGTCCCCATGAGACAGAATGACCTTATTAAATTCAAACCAGTCCTGGAGCTGTACTTTGGTCATGTAGACTTAGAACCTAGACTTATTACCAGTTCAAACTAACCAAGTTCCCAGGAAACTAATACTTATAACCAGAATACCTACTTGTTGTTTTGTAATGGGAATCAATTGCCTGATAGGTGGGCATGGCTACCCTCTGATTCATGAATTTTTTTTCAAGCCATATTACATAATAAGCTAGATTACTCTGTATTCTTGATTGTAAGTATCATGGTTCATAAGATGTGCTATTAAATTAATAACAGGTTTGGGAAGAGAAAAAAGGATGAATATTTAATACCTACATCAACTGTAAGAAGCATTTCAGGTTTTTATAATTAGTGCATTTAAAAATGCATGCCTTATGGGCTGGAGTAGTGGCTAGTGGTAGAGCACTTGCCTGGCATGTGTGAGGCCCTGAATTCAATCCTCAGCACTGCATATAAATAAATAATATTCATTGACAATTGAAAATATTAAAAAAATATGCATGTCTTAGTTCAGGCACATTTGGTACAATCAGAAGGCTGTAATGAGAGCAATAAAGTAGGATAAGTTAGTTGAGTTAGAGTGACCATATGCTCTAATTTGTTTGGGACAGTTCTGGTTACTGTCACAGCTCAAGGATTAATAATGTCCCTTTTGCTGTCAACAGTAGCTTGGTTTGGACAGGAAATCAGGTGGTCACCCCAATCACTGGGGTCTTCCACTTAAGGGTGTCAGACTCAGCCTGGTCAGACATCTGCTCCCTAGAAAGTACACTTATAGAAACTGTCATGTTTGTCTTTGATGAGATCCTTTCTTCTGTGTTCAGTTGCCGGCCAATGCCTTTTGTGGCTGATTTGGGTTTTTTTCTTAAACTATATATTCTGGGAAGTTCTTATCCCATCAGTCTTACAACGAAAACTATTCTAGTTTTTTAAGGTTATATTGCACATCTCAGCTTTGAACCATTATGTGATTTTTTAAAAAATCTCCCACCCCAAATCCCAGAAGACAGTTTTATTTCCCATATTTTCAAAGTTCTGGGGAAGTGGGCACTAGAGCCTCACAGTAACCTCTAATTGTTACTAATAATAGTCTTTTCTCTTCTTTGCTTTCCTCTTTCTGAGAATGGAACCACTGTTAATATTCTAGGTCAGCCCTCCCCAAAAGAATATAGGACAGAGTGTACATGCAACTCAAAATTTTCTAGTAGCCACACTGGCAAAAATAAAATGAAAACAGGTGAAATTAATAATAATTTTTGTTTGCTTGTTTGTTTTGGTAGTTTTAGGGACTCACCCATGCTAAGTCACTGAACTACATACAACCCCAGCCCCTAATATTTTTAACCCAGTATATCAAAAATATTATCATTTTTTGATGAGACTCAAAGATGCCAAAGATCATATACTGTAGGATTCTACTTATATAAAATGTCTAAAAAAGGCAATTTAGAGAGTCAGTGAGCTAATTAGTGATGGCCTGTGTGGAAATAAGCAATGACTGGAAATGGACAGAAGAGAACTTTATTTTGGTGGTGAAAATGTTCTTGCATCAATTTTGGGGAAGAGTTGCATAATTGTGTAAATTTACTAAAAATCATTGAATTGTACACGTGGAACTGATGAAATTTATGGTAAATGAAGTACTTCTTGGTATATCCATTAAAAGATATTATCATTTCTACATGTATCCATATTTTTAAAATCATCCAAAATATTTTACATGCTTTCTTTTCCTTATTAAGTCTTTGAAATCTAGAATGTGTTTTACACTTATAGCACGTCCAATTTGGACAAACCATTCTTCAAGTTCTGCATAGACACGTGTTTGGAGGCCACCATATTGGACTGGTTCCCTACCACTGGGCTCAAAACTCAGACCTCTCTGGATCCTCTCCCTTTTGCTTCTTGTCCAATATGTTTCCAAATCTTATGCTTCCTTCCTTTCTGTGATCTGTGCCATGTGTTTTTATCCCTGCCCATCATTGGCAGTTTCTGGTTCAGACCTCCACCATTTTGTGCCATGGCTATTTAGCATGGGAGCAGAGCCTACTGGTCTGCCTCCCAGCTCCTATCTGTCTTCAGCTAAGTCCTTGCTTTCCTGTAAGTTACACATTTGAGGGAAAGACAGAAACAAATAACATAAATATGTACCTAGCCAAGTATACTGTGAAGTGCTATGAGCTTAGGAGGAAGCTCTTATATCCTATAAAGAAGAATAAAGTAGGGTAAAAGATTAGAGAGTGTTGAGGTTGGGAATCAAGGGGGATGCAAT